TCCCTGCATATGCCTTGTCACCTAAAATGCTAATTAGCTGCAAATACTGCACAGGTCAGCCTATGCATGTCTCTAAGAAAGGCCCTTTTATTAGAGGATGGTGTTTTCCAACAGATGCTATCTGTACCTGAGTTAAAAATATTTTAGTGGATGTTTTGGTATTTCAGATTCCACTGGGAATCTTCCCAGGGAAGGAAATGGAAGAATCGGTGGAGATGTGCATCTTCCCTCTGGTTTATTTAGATTCAGCATGAGTGGCCATGCATAAACCTTTCAGGCAGCACACACACCAGTGTAGCTGGGGGTTAGCAGGGGTCTCCCTCCCATTCATATTTTAAATGTGTCCGGGGAGATAAGGTCTAGAATCTGTCCAAAAACCCTGTGAAAGATGTCTTTCCATTAAAGAACAGCCCTTACTCTCTGCCAGTCACAGTGCTAGACAGTGTTCAACTATAATCTCTTTCAAATCTCCCCAAAACCATAGACCCCACTGATCCTCTTCCAGATGCTGAAACTGGAGTAGAGGGGTCAGCTCTCTTACCTGTGGTCACACTGTCGGCAACAGAAAAGTGAGATTAATGTAGGTCTCCTATGCCAAAGTTCATGTTCTTTACACGCCCTCACATACTCCAGCTACTACCTCATGTGCATATGAGCAAATCTCCTGTCAGTGTAGAGTGCTGTTAGGCACATCTGTGAACTTGCCCTTTGTCAGTATTGCTCACCCCTGAATCCCTGTCAGTTCTGGAATGGTTAATTAGGAAAATAGTTGCCAGTGCCCAGTAGCTAGAATGATGTCCTACACAGGGTCTTGTATGTTTGAATCATAGGACCCAGAGGATCCATTTGGGCAGAAAGTAAGCCCTTGGCTTAATCTTCTTCCCTCCTGCTATCTCTTTTGGTCAGGTTTTACCCAAATCACACAGTACTGCACTTGAGTGTACTTTAGTTCATCTTAGTCTTTAGTGTTGGTGATTAAGCTAATGAAGTAGAGGTGATAAAACATCTCTGGGCAGCATAGAGTCCATCTCCTTCTGTGTGAACTGTTTAAAATATCTTACTATTGTAAGGGGGTTGATTCATGCCAATCAAAGAGGGAACTTGAGAGAAGTCTTTTGATTTGGAAGGTTATCATTCTGAAATACTGCCTGACGGAGTGGCTCTGTGAAATGGAGACATAGTGTTCCAGAAGCAATGACCAAAACACAAGTTGGCAGCTTCCGAGGGATCCTGAGCAATGATCCAGGCCAGTTTCATATACTGCCCTTGTGGAGTAAATGTTACACATGGAGTAAATGTGGAGCCTGATAAAACCCTGTGAACATAGATACTTTATCATAGCAAATGTAACAATTTTCATTTGTTTTAATTCCATGATTAGTTCTCTTAATAAAAATGTCTATTTAAGCTATTTAAGACACCCACTAAAAGTCTCTAATATTAATTTCATGGAAAAATTCCAACAGAACTATATTAGTTTTCCCCCCATTAAGGTAACATTATGGACTTTTAATGGAGCTCTTAGCTGTAATGGTTTTTATTGGCCTAATTATTAAATGAATTAAAATGTGTCTCCATGTCTACAACATTATGTAATAGTGGTATCGGAGAAAGAGGGCACACTACGATTGGTTACTGAGGGATAAAGGAGAAGCCCTAAATTCTACCTCCTTTATATACACACATAGTTCATCTAAAAGGAAAGACAAATAATACTCTAGATTCTTGGATGTATTTGTCTTTCTCTATTTAGGTAGTTTGTAACATCAAAATGCTGTGGTTACTGTGTTATGCTATTACATGCGGGGAACTTCTGTTTTTCTTGTCTGCCTATTCTCTTTTTTGATGATTTCCAAAAGCAATGTTAGAATTTTAGCAATGATATTAAATATATGATGGAATCTTTGAATTCCATTTTTGTAACTGATTTTTAGTATAAAAGTAATATGGTTAATAGTATAAATTGCAACCATGCAGAGGGAGGAGAATAAAATATCAAATCTTACTTTCCAGAAATACCATTGTTGAAAACTTGAAGCTGTTTTAGTATATTGATTTTTGGCTTCTAATAATAACTGGCATTTCTTTGGCACAGATGCAAATCTGTGACATGCTCGCCTCCAATCCCTGTGCCCTGTCCCAAAGCAGAGATCACTAAGGAATTGCTGAACTCTCACTGAGAACAGGACAGCTCTGAGTTCTGTCTCAGGATTGTGCTTTGGAAAAAAAAAAATATATCTGACATGAGTTCATATGGGAATAGAAATTTTGCATCTCTGATGTTCCCACAATTTATATTTTCATTGACACATGCATGTGAATCTCATTTGCTCATCAGAGAAATTCTGTGAGAAAAGAATGATCATTATCAGCCCTATTTAACAGACAAAAACCCAAGACTCAGTAAGGAAGGGACCAAATCAGGGCATGTAGCTAGGGAGGAATGAGTCAGAATGAGAAGATGCAGCACCTAACTCCTAGTGTACTGATCCTTCTATTGGTCTTTCATTCATTCACTCCACAAGTTTACAGTGAGCATTTGTGCGTGTCAGGCACGAGATGGTCAGCAATGCACACGCAGGCATGGTCTCTATCCTCAAGGAATTTCCATTCTGTTGGAGATAGATAATACAGTGACAAATAAGATGATTTAAGGTAACATTGGATAGTATGAAGAAATAAATTAAATAGAGAGAGCTGTTCTGTGGTGCTATAGGGAGTAGCAAGGTGTCTGTCAAGACTGACATTTGAGCTGAGACCCAATAGGAGTCACTAAAAAACGTGGGCACAGAGTGTCAAACAGAAGCAGAGGGAAAGGAGCTGACATAAAGGGCTCCAGGTTAGAGGAGTCCCAAGTGTTCAAGCGAGATCTTTGAATGAGTCTGGAAGAGAGAAGACAGGTGGGCTGGGCCAGTTCATGATCATGCATGACCATCATAAGGAAAGGGGTGGATTTTATTCTCCTTTTATTGGACGCCCATCACAGAGCAATGAAGGAGTGATGTAATCCAATGCACTTGGGTAGGGAGTGGAGTAGCCACTTCCTATCTCTACAACAGTATTAACCAACCAAGTCACGGGAAATAATTTTATTTTGATTGCAAACTCAAGTGAGCCATGTTTGTTGCAGATGTACACTTCTACCTGAAGGCGTGGCATCCCCTGTCTCACTTCTTGCCTGTAGCCAAGGCCCAAGATTAGGACCCCAGGGCAAGACACTCAACAGAGATTCTAGTAGAGGCAAAAATGAAGAAAAGCTCATTGCGTATTATATCAACAATTGGGTGTGTGGTGTTCTGAAAGGAGAGAGATAAATAAACCTGTTTTGATAATAAGAGAAGGCACATCTTGTAGCCACCCTGTTCAACTGAATGTAGCTCTGTTCTTAAAAGGGCATTTCACAGGCCTATCTTTAATATACAATTAAACTTAGCTTCAATGTTATTTTTGGTTACTTTTATCCTCATATCCTTTGAGATAGTCTCATTTATGTGAAAATAGTAAGAGTCATTGTTATTGTTATGCAGAATCATAACAGTTTGTTGAGTAATTTAACTGCAGGAGACACTGAGCTGAGTGCTTTATGTTGCATTCTTTCAACCCTTTGGGGTTGGTACTATTTTATGTCATTTTACAGATAAGAAAACTGAGTCACAGAAAGGTTATCTAATAGGTACCCAAGATCATACAAGAGTAGAGTCTGGGAGATTTAACTATAGACTCCTTACTCTAAACCACAAGTTTCCTCCCACATAGTGTCCAGTGGAATGGTGCGCACGCAGTTTGGAGTAAACTAGGAGTGGGTCTGAGCCTGTCTCGGTTTCTTCAACTATCCCTTAGGGGTTACGGTGGCACTTTCCTCAAAGGGTTTGGTGAGAGTAAATGAGATAAACTGAAAACATGGAGCAGATTATGCAGTGCCCAGCAAGTGCTCTATGGTCAGACCTGTTCCTCAGGCACAAGGCCTCTCTGCCCTGACACATGGATGTAACAGTTGAGGCAATTGACCAAGGATGTAGAGCCCTTAACACAGTATCTGATGTTATCCTTGACTTTCTGTAAATAATCCTTGTTATTATCTTGTTAATCTGAGAACAAATGATGTCTTGAATTTGTAACACCTATTTCAAATCAAAGTAACAATTGGGGAAAGCTTGTTTGTATCTCTTCTACATTTTTTCTTTATGAAAAAGAAATGAGCACCATTATTGATGCTGTGAATGTGTCCAAAATTGAGTTCCAGTAATGCTAATGGGTTGGCACATTTTTGCTTCTGTCTGATGCTGTTTCTGAAGGAGCCATTTGTCATATAATGATAAAATTCAGTGCAAGACCTTTGAAGGAAAGTGATGTCTAATAGTTTGAGTCAACTTCTGACAACAATATGTTCTAGAGAACTACAGATGTTCTCAAGTCACATAATATTTCTAAAAAATTCCATGTGATATTTGTCTGATCGAGCATCTGGCATGATGAGGGGAGTATAGTTTTTTTTTTTTTTTTTCATGCTTGAGAAAACATCTTTGGCTAAGTTCATGCGCAGTACTCTGCACATGTGGCAGTGATATTAATTGTTCCCAAAACTATGTCCCCCATTAAAGAATCCCTCCCAAAGGTTCACATAAACATGAAATACAGCTGGTAAATGCTATGGGCTGTATCTGTCCCTCTTTGGACAGGTTCAAGCTAATAGTACCACTAAATCTGAGTGAGAATAGAAGACAGTCTTTGCCTTCACTGGGTCTTTTTCCCTCTGAAGTCATAATCTTGTTAATGAAAATAAGGGAGAATTTGCCTTCATTTTTCAAATGAGGGAATCAGGCAAACACTGTACTTCCACAGGTTTCCAAACGTTCGGTCAACTCTTTTTTGTGAAGTCCTGTCCTTTAATTTGACCAAAGTCCTATGAAGCTTTAAATTAACCTCTGGTGATGTTCAGAAGGAAATCCTCACTGAATTCTTACAAGGGCTGTGCCCCCCCGGATGGCAGCAGGGGAAAGGGAAGGTGAGGGTTTTTTGGTGAGCACTGGGCTGGAAGCTGGAAGGTTCAGGTTTCCTCTGCCACTAATAATGTGACCTTGAACAAAGCCTGGGTCTCCTTGTCATCTAAGGTAAAATGAGGCACTTGGACAAAGGTTCGCTTCACACTTTTTCCTTTGACCTTCCTCTCTTGAGACTAACAATGTGCACATCTTTCTGGTCTGTGGTGAAGAAAGGCTGCTTTGGTATTTGGCATCACAATTTTCCTGCTTTATTTTTGATGAACACTTGAAATAGAAGTCCCGACACTGAGCTCCTCGAAAAGACTCTAACATTGTATGCATAAGCTTGAGGACAGGGGAATATTTAAGAGGTAGGGGAAAGTTTTGTGATTTTCATTTATTCAGTGAATGTTGAATACCTATTCTCTGCCAGCTACAGAGCTAAGCAAGGGAAGTTGCATGGTGATCTGGGCAAAGGCAGTCCCTGACCCTCAAGACCTCCATTATAATCAGAAAACTCTAGACACAAGGAAATGGGCAATCACAGTGGAGTAGTGCAGAGGAATGGTAGGGTCCGGTGCAACACCAGGTACTATACAAAAGCTTGAGAGAGAGGCTCAGTGCTCACAGGCCCATCAGCTATTCGAGGGAGTTCATGACCTAAAAAAATAAGGGGGGAGATAAGAACCTGCAAACCAAGGAAATGGAATTGGTGTGCACTATTGTATACCAGGTGGACAAATACATTTGAGTGTTAATCTATAACTAATAAGGCATTCAGCATTGTAAAGCTTGGTTTAAAGATTTTTAGATGATTGTGCACATTATTGTCACCATTGTAACTAATATATGTTGAGCTCTTGCTAAGCATGTAACATCAGTGATCTCATTTAATTATCACAAAGAATCCGTGAGGAGGTGGTATAGGACTGCTTTACCCAGGAGAACACAAGCACTTGTGGACATTATCTGTTCAAGGTCTTTCAGCCAGGAAAAAAAAAAAAAAAAAAAAAGCAAAGCTGGGAATTAAATCAAGGTCTGGCTTGTTAAACTTAGCACTAGTATATATTTTCATGATTTTTGGATCACAGAGAGGGTATACCTGGAATCCTCACTTCCCAAACAGGTTGGAAAGTCATGTTTTCTTGAATTATTTTACAAGGTGACCAGGCTTTAGATTTAAAAACAAAAATCAAACATCTGCTCCATCTGTTCCTCCCCACCGTGGAAGGCATTCATTCTCTCCTAGGCAGGTTTTGAGAGGCCCTCAATTATCAGCTCAAACAGAGAAGGTTTAATACACCTATCTGTGGCCCCAAAACAGTCACAGAGTTCAAAGAAGAAGCAGAGCTCTAAGGGGCTTATTAACAATTTAATATTTACAAAGAATGTGGGATTGTTAATTCCATTTGCTACAGAACAACCGTCATTATGATTAAGACCTAGTCCCCGCAGGAATGCAGAAATGTGAAATCCGTTTTGTGACTGCACAGCTCCCACTGTCTTTTCTAAGCTGCCGTAAGATCCTCATCATATGGCTGAGTGCCATCCTCTTTCTCTTCTGGTTGACCTTGACACCTCCGCTTGAGCATCTGTATGATCTTTTACTTTATGGAAGTTTGATCCAAATGATACAAAGCCCCCCCGAAATAGTTCTCATTGATCATATTACCCACAGAGCACTTGGGCCCATGGAAATGTCCTTGCCCCAGAAGTACGCTGGCTTATTCATTCAGTAAGCTTTGATGGTGGCAAGTCTGAACTAGGCCCTGCGGAAACAGGAACGAATCAGTCCTGTGCTCTCGAGATGCCATGGTCAGTAGACCATCGTGTAAGTGAATTGAGAGCCTCTTTGACTCTAAGTGACAGAAACCCAACTCACCCTGCTTTAAGGAAATGAGGAAGAATTTATTAGCTCATACAGCTGAAAAGTGTGATGCAATGGTAGAGCTGACTCAGGCATGACCGATCGAGGGCCACATGAAATACCATTAGTCTTTGTGTCTCTGCTTTTTTCAGGCAGCTTCTCCCCAAGGAAGGAAATGTGAACTGCAGCAGCTTAAGGCTCCCCATATACAAGTTTATAATGGACATTTATTTTTCCGCAGCAATGCTAAAAAATGTGTACCGAAGACGAAGACTCTGGCCCAACTTGAATAAATTTACATTCCTGAATCAAAAATCTGTGGCCAGAGGGTTGTTGCCCTGAGAGAACAGATTTGGATCTGAACCCACCCCTGAAGCCAGTAGAGATGAGATAAATCCCATCTAACACAAGGAACAGAATAGGTCCCCAGAGGAAAAAGTGATAACTTAAACAGGAGGAAAGCCAGTTTACAAAAGACAAAAGTTGGGATAAAGCATTAATGATCCCAGAAAAAAGTGGGGCGAAAGCTCAGAATTTCTCCCCAGAGAGGTTGACAGAGCCCTCAAGGATGATTGCCTGAGTTAAAAATCAATTGTACTAGGAGTGTGGTCTGGGGAGTAGTTTTGTTTTGCTAATGTTTTAATCAGAATAATCTAGGAAAATGACATCTATTTGAAAAAAGTTTTCATGGCATCTGCCAAGCATATGCAGGAACCAGCCACATTAGTGCTGGGACTCCAGCGATGGACAAAATAGGCACTATTCTGCTCCTCGTGGACCTTACAGTGCAGAGAAGAGACAAACTTTAAGCCAGTAATTCAAAAATGATAAAAATAATTTTCCTTTCAGAAGTGCTAAGAAGATCACTATGCGAGGGAGAGAGCGCACCCGTGTCTTGTGTTTCAGCTTTCCAGACCCTAACATGGAAAAGAAAATTCTATGTCTCTCTCTCACCAACCATATAGTAATATAGGAAGGAACACACAGATGAGTTCATTTATGCTCACTGAGATTAATACTTTCTGTTCATTAGCAATCAAATATTACAGGAAGGTTTACATCTTATTCTCACTTAACTCACTTTATTTTATTTATTTATTTATTTTTTATAGAGGCATGTTTTATTCATTTTTTTCTTTGTTTGGTTGGTTATACATGCACTGGGTACAGTCAGAAGCGTGGGAGGGTGAGAGAATTCACCAGAGCGGGGAGCAGAGCAGGCAGAAGGACCGAAGTACACTGCTGAGGGGAGCAGCGGGCGGCAGGAGAGGTCTGCGCGCCATGTGGGACCCTCTTCCGGTGGCCGGGGAGCAGCCGGGGATCGAACCGGCGTCGCAGAGGCCGCGGGCAGCTTCGCAACCCAGCGCTCAACCGCTGCGCCACCGTGGAGGCCCCACTTAACTCACTTAACTCATACACACATGCACACACGCGCACACACACACCACACACACCCAGCAGAAAACACCTCAGAAGAAAGATTAAAAATTGGGGAAATTTCTGTTCTTATGGAGGCTGACTCATAGACTACCTCCTTAAAATACATCACTTTGATACTGCACACACAGTGAGCTTGTCCTCACCTTCTTAGTATTCCGAACTCAGTGCTTGCTTTCCTTTCTACGCCCAGTCTCCTTAATCCACTAAATCTATGTTCAGCACAAAACACTACCATTTGCCTTTTATTATTTCTTTCTATCAAGCATTTGGGATTCAAAAAAACACTCTTTGATATGGAAGCAACTAAACTCCGAAGATGCTGCTTTTAAACTACTGACTATTACTCAATAATTTAAATGATTATACTGTTTAGAAGCTAATCTTATTATTTCAAAAAAAAAAAAAAAGGTTCCATTGTAGAAACTGCCCTCGTAGGCATTTCAAGCAGAAAGGAATGTACTTGCCCATTTGTTCACTCCTGAAATAGCAATGCTTAGCAGATAGGAGACCACAGCCATAAATGGCATTGCTGTGATGAAATGATTCTGACAATGGAAACCTGGGAGTGAGTGATGGGAGCTGAGCGCCATGTTTGTGTAGATTCATTTTCACACATTGGCTTCAATTCTTTATTAAATGAAAGCCAGATGCTTATGGTTAACATTTTTTTAATGGGTTCATTCTCCCAGGTAGCTCATAAAATGCCACTAATAAATCACAGGGCCCTTCTTAACAAAATTTCAAGAGACGCTGTGATGTTGCTGACGTATCAATGAATGAAGAGGCACTGGGAACTAGACTCACCTTTTTCAGAAGCCTCCATACTCTCTCCTCCATGCTTTACCAGGTGAAGACTGGAAAAGGTAGCTTGGGATAAATGCCTAAGTGTCACAGCTAGCAATGTGTCTTCCACAGGACAGAGTGAGTCACTAAGAGAAAAATATCCAAGTGATTTAAAAGATACCATTTAAATTCTATTAGACATTTTTTTTAAATAAAAGGCAATGAGTTAAGTGAGAATAAGATGTAAACCTTCCTGTAATATTTGATTGCTAATGAACAGAAAGTATTAATCTCAGCAACCAAGAGAGAAAAAATGCATAGTGTTTTTCATTAAATCAACTAAATGATTAAATGAGTTAGTCAGTAGAAACCATTTTAATTTTTGGAATGTGAAATGTGCAGCTTGTAACAAATAAATTCAAAGCACCTTTCTAAGCAGTTTTTGACCATAAAAAAATGGGGGTTATAAAGATGTTTGGTATTTTCTTCTTTATAGATAGTCAATATTTTAATGCAGTGACATTAATTGTGCGGAATGAAATGCCCCTACTATCTGGGCTTAAAAAAAGTTGGCATCCAGTGCAATGTCCCTAATGGATCTTCAACACTATAACAAAATGATTGATTGTTGTTGTAGTCATTTTAGCAGCTTTCAGAGCTGTTATATTTTTAATTAAATTGGCTGTGAATTTTGTAAGTGGCAAAGGTTGATAAACTGGCGCTTGCCACGCTATTTCTATTCTTCTTAGCGTGGCTGTCATAGTTGGTACATTTATGTGCATAATCTTCTTAACATTCCATAAGTCTCTTTGGTCTCGGGCATTGATCTGCAAGATTGCTTGCTGTATAGAACTGGGAGAAAAACATAAAAATTCATTCAGCAGAGCACACGGTTCTGGGACATTACTTGGTAGACTGAGAGGAGATCTGGTCCTGTAACAATCCTGTGAGTCAGTTTACCATCCTCCCTTTTTCTTCCTCATCAAAGAGAGAAAGCAGACGTGGATGGCAAGTCAGGGAGCCAATTCTTTCACCAACTGGTTTAAGAATCACCTCTGCCTCTGGGCCACGCCCTGGGCTGGGTGCTGGCGACAGGAGAGTGAGTCTAGTGGGATACCCGGGCACTGGTCCATCTGAGCAAACAGGGATCAATTCAGGAAAGTTCTCGGAAGGAAAGGGCCTGTCTGTGGTGATGGAGACTCATGAGTTGAGGGGTCGTTGACAAGGGGTTTCTCTGAGCAGGTGACTCTGGAGCTTTTACCTGGGGGTGATAGCAGTCCACCACATGAGGAAAGGAAGGAAGGGTGTTCCTGGCAGGGGAGTGACCAGTGCATGGACTCTGGGTGGTGGGGAGCTAGTGGGGACCTGCGAGAAGGCCAGCGTGCAGGATACCAGAGCAAGAGTAAGTGAGAAGGGAAGGACTTTCAGTACTAGATACAGTGTCTGCCTTCCAGAAAGCCCGTGGGTGTTAACTGACCAGTCATAGGGATAACTCTCAAAATGGTTTCATCCAAGCAGGCTGTGCAGTTGACCCTGAATTAGAGGAGGGCAACACCACATTTGATGGATCTGACTTCTCTTGGCCCTGAGAGTAAAAACCAAAACCTAGGAGAAATAGTGGAAGAGAAAAAATTATGTTTAACAGAATTACAGAATGTTAGGGCAGGAGGGGACCTTGCGGGCTCTGCCCTTCACCACCTTCACAGTGCAGACCAGGAAGGTGAACCCCAAATGGGCAGGTGTCATACTTGGATTAGCAGGGACTAGCCATCCCATTTCATTGCTATAACTAGGGTTCTAGGGTTCTTCCTAAAATACCACCACACACCATTTCCTTAGAATTTCTAATTTCCACTTGTGGATGAAATGATGACTTTGTTTAATGAATACATATGTACTAGCTCAGAGTTTGTGGAGACTGGATAATGTAGCACATAAGTACATAGCTTCAGCGTCATAGAAGTCTGGTTTTGAATCCTGACAACTGGCCTTGGCAATATACATAAACTCTAAGCTTCAGTTTCCCCATTTGTCTATTGTGGCTAATATTTGTGCTTCCATCAATGGGTTGTAAGGATGGTATCCATCATGCCATGTGTTTTGTGTGCTCCCTGGCATGTTGTTAAGTAACTAAGCCATATTAACCATTATCTTAAAACAATTGAACTCATCAGTGAATGCAATTTTTTATTTTCCCTTTGTAGAAAAAGAAAATGGGGTTTCCCTTTTCATAAAGAAGCAGATGCTTTTGAAATGTTCTGAATTTTTTCCTTCTACCAGGTTGTCCTGTGTGCATGTGAAATTGCTCATTTAGGGCAGTGGCTCTTGCTAGTGATTTATATATCTTGCTAGAAATGGGTATATGGTAACCAAAAAGCAATATTTAAAGACCACAGGTCATGAAATTTAACCACTATGCTGGCTTTAGTTCAGCATTGTTCATGATGGACAGAATTCTAGCTTTGGAGTCACATCGCTGAGTCAGAATGCCTGATAGAGTAAACACCTCATAATGTTGGGCTCTTCCAAATCAGCAACCCAACCTGATAATTCCCATTGATTGTGTGTGTGTGTGTGTGTGTGTGCAAGCACGTGTGCACACACATGCAAGAGAGGGGGGGAGAGAGAGGGAGAGGGAAAGGAAGAGAGAGAGAAGGGTGTGTTGGAGGCAGGTGAAGTCGGACTGAATCCCATTCAGTTATGCAGTCTTTATTTCTCAGGTGGACAAAATGAGCATTATTTTTAGCAATGTAAAATGACCTCCATATCCCCCTATAAAGCCCTATGAAGCCTTGAGTTTGGTGCCATGATTTCTAAAATGAACCATTCATGGCAGTATCTACAGGAACAGCTTAAAGTATCAGGGGGGAACTTCACAAGACAGATGACTACATGGGGAGATTGTATTAGTTAGTAAAAATTGTGCATGGAGTAAACATGGCAGTTACTTTCAATGGTGTAATCTCCATAGTTTCCAACAAGAGGCCGTGCAAATTGCAAAGGAGGGAAAAGAATATATCAGTTTTCCTACGTTGAAGTTACAGATGAGCCACGGAGCTACCATTTGTATTTGCAGGCAATTTCAATCATTCTGCATGCGTGCTTACCCTGGCAACATTTCAAAGCATTATTCCACATTACCGTGGTATTTCATCACGCATCACAAGTCTGACACAGTTCTCTCCTTGGCAAGAAAGTGCTTCAGGCTAAGTTTCAGATTTTTGTCAGTAGGAAAAAAAGAATTGTTACAATCCAGAAATGGCTAGGGAAACATAACTTCAAGTGCTACAAATTTATAAAGGTAAAGCCCCAGGTAGAAACAAAGACCAGGGACAGGCAAGCTTATGTCCCTCTGGGCTCCATGTCTGCTCTGCTGTGTGCAATGATCAGGCACAGAGGGCAGCTGGATCAGCCCCTAAGAGTGTTTCAGTGACCAGTGGATGTCAAGTTCTGATGTTTAAAGTGACCAGGATAATAAAGCTGCACCCTGAATAAGTCACATCAACAACTCTTCTATCTCTGTTGTCTAGGAAGGAGGGTTAGTGGATAATCCACAGATGACCTGGACTATCTGGTCACCTCATTCCACATTTCTCTTTTGCTATGGCCCCAACATGTCTGTGTTCCTCTTCATTTCACTACTCTAAGATCTATTTATCTGGAATTTTGTATTTGACAATTTCCATGCCGGGTGCTGGAAACCACAGTAAACACAGATATGAATCCAGAACTCACAGGTGCCAAACCCAATGAGGTGGTGTCCAAGGTGCTTGGGGAGCACATGAGTGGAGCACTCAAGATTTTGTTGGGGTGAATCTACATCAAACTCTACAGACTACATCATACAATTACAAAAAACAACCTAGTCCTTCTTACACCTGCTCATGCCACTTTCTTAAGCTGTCTGAGGGGCAGGTAAGGACTGGCATATACAAGAACATATCGTAAATTCTACTATTTATTCCCCAAACATCAGTCATTAATCACAGTTTCTGTCATGTCTAGGAACCATTTCTACTGCTATTTATGTTTCTTCAAATCAACTTCCTTTTTCTACCTGAGCACATTTATTGAAAAAGGAAAGATTACATCACTCTTGTAATAGAAAAGCAATATAACATACCATAAATAGAAGGCGTCTACAAAAGTAAATACAGTGAAAAATAAAATGGTGTTATTAAATTTCCTCTGGATTCTGTTGTTTGAGCCTGAGGCCTGTTCTTTTCTGATACAAAACGGGAAATCACCAGGCCTTAGTGTGAAGGGCAAAGACACAGAACTCAACATTCTCCTGCAAGAAGCTCAGGGAAGAGAAAGGGTGTGGAAACTAAATAAGCATTGTGCAATTGTACATTCTTTCACTCACTCTATACTCCCTAAATCAGCCGTGTGCCTGCCGAGGTATGTGTCTGAGCCTCTGAGACTGACCGAGAGCGATCAGGGGAGTGGGAACATAAAGCTGTGAGGAAGGAAGCAAGAACCGTGAAGCATGGCTTGGCAGGCATCCTTCAAGAGTTTAGATTTCATCCTGAAAAAAATAGAAAGCCAGGGAAGCGTGATCTGATTTTCATTTCAGAAAAACCACTCACGTGCAGGGGTGGGAACAAGCAGTGTGAAGCGAGACAGGAAGGAGGGAGGTGCGAGGAAGCTTTGGAGGAAACCAGGGAAGAGGAGATGGTGGCAAAAACTAGACGAGCAGCTCAGGGGAGACAGAGAAGGGAAAATTTGATTGCCTGGATGAGGGATAAAATGGGCACTCCAAAATGGTTTCTAAATAATGCATCCCATAGAAAGAACCAGGTCAGTCCAACCATTCTAATAGAATGTTTCTGGTCAAGAAACCAAAGTCTCTCAACTCAGTCTCTCCACCCTTCCTCATCTCTCTTCCCTCTTCCTATTGGAGGTCTCTAATTAATTGAGATTCTTCAGAAATGGTATCAGCAAATCACATCGGGAAGTCTAGGAAGATCTCAGCTTCTTCCACCATTTCCCATTTGTCTTGGCATTGATTTTAATTGGGGGGCAATTTTTCATTTTGGAGAGATTTGGCAGTGTCTGGAAACAACTGCAGATGTCACAAGTTGGAGGGACGAGTGTGTTACTCTACATCCAGTAGAGACCAGTGCTGCTGCTGAATGTCCCACAA